TGGCTACTCAGTAGAGCTTTATTTCCCGGAACTTTTCCCACCTGAAACCAACTGAATGTAGCCTTGCGACTCCTTAGAAGAACCCCTCAATTTACAAAGCTGCATATTTCACATTTTTCTGTCTTCAGTGACCAGGAAAATGGAACTCTCTAACGATGAGATCTGGAATAAATACCTAAAGACAGGATGGATCAGGCACAACGAGAGGCCAGACTATAACCGTAACTCAGGGTTGTATATAAAAAACCTGGACTTTCAACGTCTTAGTATGAAAAAGAAGCCAACCAGCAGCCATTTTACCGAGCCAAATACCGGTACAAATGTGTGGGTTGGCTCCCTTCTATTGACGCCAGGGAGAACAAAGGCAGGCATTGCCAGGAAAGCTTTGTATTCGGCTTGGTAAAATGGCCAGTAGTGGATTCAATGATCTCTATAAGCTGATAAAGGGCATTGCGAGTCCAGATTTTATTATACGCGTCCGTGCCATAACTGGAGAAATTATAGCAGACTATGGTCTAAAGGGAAAGTTCACGGAACTGTACACCAAGCAATTAAAAGCATTGAGGGAGAAATGTATGAAATTGAACAAATCACTGCCCCCTTAGCATTTAAGAGATTTTCTTGGATGAACCAATTTTAATTTTTGAGAAAGAGCTTTCTCCAAAACAAATGACACATCATCATTTACTGTTGTGGAAGCTTAACCAAAAAGGCTGAAGCTGATGTTCGCACTCACCCGAGAGTTAATCCCCCAGATCATGAAGTGGAACCTGGCAAACGGATGCGATATTAGATGAGTTGTGAGTAGAAGCCGTGGAAAATGGAGTATCCCAAACTCAGTTACTTTGTTTTAGATAACATAAAGAGAAAAAACTGTTCATGTTGGCATGAGGGTATTTACAGATGATTTCCACTGTGAAAATAGGTTAATTTAACTTTTTTTGCATTATCCCCTCTACTTTTATTTCCACTTTCGGGAATCTTTGAGTTTGCTGTTCTTTAATTTTTTTTGTAATGATATTTTGTGGAAATAGTGAATAAATAAAATAAAATCAAGCCATTCAATTACTTCCTTTGACAAGGCCAAATGAACTCCAGCAGGTATTTCATTCATTTCAACTCAACAAGGTGTTTCAGAATTTTTTCAGGCTTTTAAATTAGGGTACAAAACCATCATGCATAAAATAATAAAGCACCCGTTAAAAATGCTTGTGCAAATCACTGAAACCTTTGTTTATTCTTTATTTAACCCCAAATCAACAACAAAGATTGTTTTGATACCTTACAGGTACAGCAGAACAAACAGTGCAAACATTAATGCAAACACAGCCAAAGAGGGTGCTATGCATATGTAACGCCCTCTTTCAGATTTTGCTCCCATTTTTGACCATTTCGGTGAATTCTCAGCCAGGCCTGCAGCCTTGTAAAAAGAGCCCAGATTGTGCGGTATTATGTAAGATTCTTTTGTTCAGTGCGCTGGTGACCTCTTTTCGAAATTGGCCAGATAAGCGTGCAGCGATGCTGTGTGACACATCACTGTGGTGGTGGAGCGCTTTTGTCCCCGGTGGTAATCCACTCACTCTAAATGCCCCAAACTGTGATGTACTGTTTGAAAACAAGGCTGAATTATCTCCACTATTGAGAGTGAACAACTGTGGTAATGCCCAGCAGCTCAGTCATTAATACCCTGCACGATATGCGGCAAAGGAGGACCCCCCCCATGTGATGCACCAGCTGTATACACTAAGACTATTGTGCCTACTGCACCCCCCTCAGAAATCTGAAAGGAATTCCAAAGATTCCATCAACACAAAAAAGACACAATGGGGGGTACCCCTTTGCCGCATATCGTGCATTATATGCAGTCTTTTGTGCCGAGCACAGTCTTTTGTTACAAGGCCTAACTCTTTTGTCCTGGTTTCGCACTCCCCGCCTTCGTGTATAAAGCCTAGGTACTCAAAAACGGGTCGCCTGGCAGGAAGTGGTTGAATCTTTTCAACCTAGTTTTCTTTATTTGGAGATGATGTTCAAACATGTTTGATACAGTTTTTAGGAATTTGGACTCTTTATTGTCCCGAATATACTGATGTCTGGGTCAAATATGGTTTTAAACCACTGTGCAGTGAAACCTGGGATGGATTTTCAACTACTGGTTTCTATTGGCACTTCCTGGATTCTGTGACTTACTTCTGTGTCCGAACTTTCAGATTTCAGAGACAGGAGTATGTTGGTTGTCACATTGTCGCTTCGCCAGATAAATCACTACGGAGGTACGCTCTTCCTATGCCTTTGTCTCCTCAAAATACAGTCATTGTTATGAACATTGGACGTCGAGATTAACCCAAAGGTAATCCACATCTCGGAGCCAACAACTCCTTTAATGAATACATATGCTTGCTCTTAGAGAAAGATATCACGCAGTACCGGTAGAATGCACACTTCATCACAATGTATCAGAGTCAGTTCCTTAGGTACCAGAAGACCTACTCTGTGCATTGCTGTCCCTTCCTTCACATGGAACATCTAGCTGCTGTTGTCCTGCGCCAGACCCCCTCACCTTCAGGTCTTAGTCGCAGACAACCCTTTTCTTCTTCTTCCAACAGGCTAGAGTGGCTTGTAAGTCCAACATGCCCCTCTCTATTAACCTTACTCCCGGCAATTCTGTCACAAAATGGCCAGGAAAGACCCTTCTCTTAATGTTGTTCAGGCCTTCTTAACCCTGAAGTCTGACTTTCCTAGATCCCTAATATCCGTAACATCTACATTAGCAGCAAACAGTTCCCCACTACTCAAGGCACGAAGAAGAGTATACATTGCAGTTGGTTCAATTCAGACACCAAAAAGTGCAATAACCGATTCTTTTCTTCTGTGAGACTTGAAACTGCATTTTTCAATCATACTTAGTAACTGTCTACTGTCACAGTTTACCTAATTTGCTCCGCCATCGACTCACATGACTCCAGGTATTTCCTTCCTGATGTGTCCTTTCTAATGTTTTTTCCTAATACTGAGTCCATGTCTGGCTGGGAATCACAACGAGCATATTCCTATCTTGATGATAGATGGCCTTTTATCCCTTTTATGTCTTTTTGTATTCTGTAGCCATCCCACAACCTAGACTGGTGCTACTCTGCATACATTGTGACTTTTTGGGTAGGTAGAGCACCGTAGACTCCTCCCCCACAGTAGTGTGGGTCAAGTCTACTAGAGAACACCTACCCAGACAGTCCTCTCCCGCCCGTCCTCCCCACTTGGCTATGACATTCCTAGTCATTTCGAAAAGGACGAAGATGGCAGCATGACCGCAGTGCAGACCTTATAGTGGGAGGTCAAGGGGCACCATGGATGATCAAATCTTTCCAGCGAATAGCTATATACGCATGGGAAATTTGCATGTATAGTGACTGTTTAGGTAGGTATTCTCAAGTAGACCCAGACTACTGTGAGGGAGGATCGTACATGTGCATGTACATGTATGTACAGTCCATGTGCACGCATACACTAAGCTGGAGCGACGGCGCTGCATGTGCAGTGGTTCACTGCACTCGGTCACCTTTGAGGTTCAGGGTCAGGCTTATCTGGTTCAGAGGACTTATTGCGAAAGATGTGGGATCCATATGCACACTCTCAATGCATTATTACCATGAAAAGGAAAAAACAAAGCAAGAAGAGCGAAAACCTTTGCATAAAGACTAAACAAGACATCCAATAAGGGGTGAAAGTGATATGAAAGCTAATCTACACTGAACAGAAATGACATAGCAAGACACAAATGATATAGAGAGGCTATTTGGGGCTTGAAAGAAGGGTGGTTGGGTGGGTGGGTGGGTGAGAACTGGACATGATGAAGTAATCTAAGATCCTTCACAATAAGTTCATGTAACAGAATGCAAGCACAAGCATATGGCGCAAGTGAAGACCCTGATACTCAGAAAGCTCTATAGAGATGCCCATCAATGATTTTATTGAATGGGAATAGGACACACATATACAGCATGAGGTACACACCCAAATTTCACGGATGCTTTCATTAATTCACCGTTCATTCAACCAAGAGAAACTGAATTTCAACTCCATTTGATTTTCATTGGTAGCCAACCAAATGTCCACCAAATGTACACTATATGCCTAATTATCTCCAAATTATCATTTTTTAAAATCTAAAGGTGCTAATTGGTATCTTACAAGATCAAAGTCAGTCTTAGAAGTTTTGGAAAATGATACGCAGAGTTCCAGTTTAATATGAAGAACATGCCATATGTGTATGGCCTGATGTTTGACATCCCTCATGTCCCTGAAATATTCCTTATTGTCATACCCTGTCTTGGATACTGTTCGTTTATTGGCCCAGAATGATCACATGACGGGGCAACAAACCTGCGTATCACACTCACCATGAGACATTTCATTCTACTGGTGGTGCATGCACGCACACACGTAAAATACAAAAGCGCAAAATACAAGAGTGCCCCTCAGCTTTGCTTCGGGGCACTATACATCCCTCGTGTGTTCAAGACCTCATATCCTTCACTACAGTATGATATGCATGCTGTTAAATCTTAAGTACCCATAGATGTATGTACTTTAACCATATGCTGCCAGTGAGCCCCTGGAGAAATCTGTCATTGTTTTGAAAGATAATACCACTGTTTGTGGCATTCAGCATGGGCGGATTACCACGGGGAACAATAGCACTCCAGCGCTCCAGTGATGAGCGACACCTGCAAAATCTGGGCTCTTTTTACAAGGCGGCAGGCCTGGCTGAAATAGTCGGGCATCATTAGATGTTGCCTTTCGAATTAGAGTAGCCTCCAGAGTCATTTCTGTGTGTGTAAACGTCTAGTAAATGAAGCTATGAATTTGTAAAGAATTTTTAAAATAGAAGAAAACGATTAAAAACCACACAGCCCAGCAGAATCAACATGAATAAATGGCCTGGCAGGAACTGGTTAACACAGTAACACATTCTCAAGGGTACTGTTTTCTTTACTCTGTGACAGAAACTTCGACAACAGCTACGTAAGCAAGGGAGCCGCCAGTCTAGTGGCAGTACACAACGTGCCTCTCCTGTACATGCTAATCATTCCACAGCAACCACCTACACAGCACCATCTGGCAGCCCAGCAGCACCACTAAATCAGCCTTTACCTCGATCTCCTGCCATTCCTGTCCCCAATAATGCCTTGAAGGCACCTGCCCCTAAGATCCGTGGAAGTGTGGAGGGATTAAATCAAGAGATTGAGAGGCTGGTGTTGCAAGGAGTACGACGAGAAGTTGATACAGATAAGGTAATGCACAATATATGGGCACGCACCCTTATACAGCTATGCTTCCTTATACTTGGGATATTTCCTTTGTTCTCGTGTACAAAACTCCCACACAACATGAAAAAATTTTCAAATCACTCCCATTTGAACCAGATTCACTTTCCTACTTTAGGAATTCGACCGAACGTCGCTTATTTAAAATACTTCATTTTTCGACAGATGAATAGCGCTTAAAGATTCCTACTTTTTGAGTAAATTTGAAATATCTATTTACCCACAAGATAAAAACTCGCCTTGTGGGGTACCTTCCATTGTTCAAGTCCCTCTATACATGTTCAGGATAGTGCTACATATTTACTTGTCACTGATTCTCCCAATTACAGGGTATTCCCAATACAGTGTGCCAAGTGGTTGTCAAGGAGAGGCCATTTTACCTGCTGTTATTTGCATCATAATTCAAGTTATTATTTGATTTTGAAGATTTAATTTCTCCCATTGACTTTGTACACATTTTGAAACCCATTGACTTTGTACATATATAAGTGCAATTTTGCGTAAACGTTTGCGCATGTCTGTATGTTGCGCGATCAGCTGACCTGCGTGATCGGTCGATGCAAGCACTGTCGCACAGTCTTATTGCATACATGTAATTTCTAGATAATTTGTCTAGAAGGTTGTGAAAAAAATCGTGTGAAATATCAAGGGGAATTAACTCTGAGATTTCGTGTTATCAGGCCTCAACCAATTTTTACTCTCATTACAAATCATCCGTGCATGTATCAACCATTTGCGCGGTCTTGCATCGACACATGGATTCGATCAGGACGATATTTTCGACCGACCCATGTTTTTTCAGGTCCTCTTGGGACTTCCTGGACCTGAAATTACACCAATTGAGTTCTTAATGGGTTTTGCTTGATCAGAGGATTCCAAGATAGTCCCATAAAAGCTGAACTGAAACCAAATTCATGCACTGGCGCAAGAGCTTGCAAAAGGAGTTGACACTGAATAGGCATGATCATGATCGTGCCCAAGGGTGCAACGAGTCCAAGAGCTACACGTAGTGTGGTGGGCAGGTGGGTTTGGAAGCTGGACGGATGGATGAAGTGCTGGAACTGGTTCTGGTAGGAAAAAGTGTACGCATTACCAGTACAAACATGCTGTAACAATTGTAAGTTACCGTCTTTTCTTTCTGTGCTAAGTCTGGACAGTGATGTTAGGGAAAGAGAACTCAGTCAAATTAGCTCTGAATTTGCATTAACGTATCCCGAGAAACTTGAACTCTACAAATGGCCTTTTTTAACATTTCGATATGGTCACCTTATGTCCAAATGATGAAAAAGGCCATTAACAGTGATTATATGTAACTAGTCCTACGTGTTCAGCACAATCCAGTGATCAACTTGCACATATTCCTTACATGTAACTCCCTCCTGTGTACATTATTCAATGGTTTTAGAATGATGGATTTTATTCAAAGGCAAGTCAAATCAGGATGGAGCACAATACATGTACTTAATGTACATTTGCAAGTTTTACGATTGTGCTGAACATAGGCAGTCCCTCATGGTGCATACCGTATTTCAAAACCTTGCCCCCTGAGGACAAAACATGTTATTAGGGGTTCACGGTACCTGTGTAAATATCTAAAAATGTATGAAATTCGAATGTACATATAGACCTATGGTTATATATACATGTTGATGTACCGTAAGCTGATTTCACGGAATAGCTGAATTTCCATATTTTACTTCATTTGCATACATGTACATAGGCATCCTTCATGCTAGAAGTCAACGTCATTGCAGTTACATGTAGATCAGATGCACGGCTGTCCATGACAAAGGAAACTGCTGTACAACAAAGCAAGGAAATTAATAGGTAATGGTGAAAAAGCCTACTGTTGCACTGACATACAAACAGATCGCCAGTTCTGATTAATGCAGTCATGAAGCCAAGTATGTGTGTGGGTAGGTGTGTAGGTGGGGGGCATCCACAAATGGTTCCCTCATCAACATCCGTATGCCCAGTACCCCACTTTAAATTCAGGTCTCAATGTAGTCCTCAGCGTAATCCCAAGGTTGCTATGCCAGTGAATACACATGCACATGTGCAAGCGCTGTATTTGTATTTGTGTTCAAGTTCTGACATCAGTTTTTCCATGCATCAACACATTTACTGCTGCTCCTGACATGGCTAATTTTGATAAATGCAGTCATGAAGCAAAGCAAGAAGAGATACCCATGCATGTACTAATTTATCAACATCCATGTGTCCAGTCCCCCACTGTAACATTCCTGCTCATATGTAGTGAAGTGATATTAAAGATTTTTTCGATGCATGAACATATAACTGACGCTCAGTGAATTGATATTTTCCTGTTTTTAGATGACACAGAAGAAGTTTTTATCAGCACATACATGAAGGAAGTCTTTCGACATGTTGGTGTGATCAATGGAAATGCATTTTGTACCAAGACTGTTCTACAGAAAGACTTAAATACCATGATTTTCTGAAAAAAACTGAACCAATAAGACATGAGATATAGAAACATATGTTATGTGCACATGTCCCTGGCATGTTTTAGTCAAGATTACTGCAGAAATTGTGAACACAGATTTCGGATGCATTATGCAAAGTTTTCAGCGGTCACAAGATCCTGATATTTTAAAGGTGTTCCCATGTCTTCATTAGTATGTACATGTAGGGCAAAAAAACTTTACCAGTATTTATATAATATACATTAGTGAAATGTCCTAACCAGTTTGGTGCAGGATCCTTTTTCACCCATAGGTACCCCCACGCGGGATTTCTTTTTACATTTTAAACACAAAGGAGCAAATTGAAACTGCTGGCATTAGTTTTCAGTGTGTGGGTGTTTTTCACCCAAATATAGCTGCGTGTGGGATATTTTTTTAATCTAATAACAGTAAAGAACAAATTGCAACTGTTGGTTGCAATTAGTTTTTTTAATATTTATGACAATTTTGTTCAATAAAAGCTTCATGTGATTAATAAAATGTTAATGCAATTGATGAATAAAATGTTACAATTGAAGAAAACATTCTGTAAGGTATCTCATGAGTTTTACTCACATTATTTTTGAAGACTGCATGCATCAGGTGAGAGCAAGTTTAGGAATCCTTCGTATGAAAATCCTTGAAACATGGATGGACACACAAAGCATTGCCGCAGGTGTCGTACTGGTATCGTGATTCACACCGAATGCCGTGTTTCTTGCAAACATCGCACGGCTTGGTTGGATTGGTCTTTTTCGCAGTAGGTAGCTCAAAAAAGTGGTGTCCTTGAAATCGAATTGCTCCAGGAAGTGATCTCGGGCATTGTCATGATCTATACTCCAGTAACGCTACTGTATCCAAGATTTCCTGAATAAGTGACTGTTTGAATTGAAGAACAGACATCTTTCCCGAGGTGGCAGTGCAGAAGATAGCTGTTGATGATGGCCAAGTCTAAAAGATAGTAGAACACCTTCTTATACCACTTGATATGCTTTCTAGCTGATTTGCATGTTGAAGGTAGCTGATCAGAAAAGTTTGTACCTTCCATTCCTCTTTTGTAATCTATCACACACTTGCAGAAGAGCCAAAGAAGTTTCATTCCCATTGCTCATCGCCCCTTATGCCTATTGAAATTGATCATGTATGTTGTAGAAATTCATATAAATTTGCTCGTTTCACCTTTACAGTGATCTGTAGCTTCAATGTAAATAAATGCAGTCCAGAGAAGGAGTGTGTTTTTACAGTGTGTGACGAAGATACACTGTATGAAAGAAATGCACAGATATGTGAATAGACGTAAGTACAGTGTACATGTACATAATCATGACATGTCAGAAAACACGTCATGAATGCATGTAGCATTCTTTGATTTTCATCTGTCTCGAATTTGAAGCTGAGGAACCTGCACAAAGGTGAAAATACGCAGTACGAAAGAATGTATGAGCCTAAGGAACAACATGGACAGGGTCACTGGTATATATTTTAAATGCGTGTCAACACGTACATTTCTACATGTACATGTACAATGCACCCGTACATAATTTAGACATGTAAAAACTCACATGCCCAGTACATGTACATATCGTTGAGTCATAAATTCTTTATGAATGTATAAATGCATATGTACATATCTAGGGATGTGTTTACGGTGCAGGATGAAGATATGAAAGTGATGTACAAATGTAAATACATATATATGAACAGGGTACATATTCGTAATTTAGACATATCAGGAAATAAAATGTACATGTCATGTACGTCATTATACATGTATGCACAGTAGTCTTTTTTAAGAGTTTGACCCATAATTTCCTGAAAAAGATTTTGCATTAACAGTGAAAAATTTTGCAATTGAGGCCACCAACAAGGTGAAAGTAGGGTCCAAGTGAGAAGACATGTAAGAAACTGCGAGAAGAGCTACCGAAAGGGGAGTCCATTTTTGCGAAACATACTGTAGAATATCCAGAGGTAAATCGAAAGATGTTCATACACAGGTACGCTCAATGGTTGTGCTGGGAAATGCGCATTCAGTCATGATCGCACATTAATGGGCATTGTTGTATGGTGATTTGCTTCAGCGGGTATGCTCGCGATTGGGTGGTTTGATTTTAAGCCAATTATTTGTGGCGTGGAGCAAACAACGTGATGACAAAGCTCTCATATCGCGTCTGCTAAAGTTCCAAGATGGAGTTCAGCCCTCTACACTCTCATCTTGTGCCGGAAAAGGCAGTTTTTAGCCCCCTTAGAGCTGCTGTAATATCTCCACCCAACATGTCAACTAACATTCGCCATTTTCGCCTCGAAAGCCGATGCAGAGCCGTCAATCCATGACAAGAAAGAGGCTATTTGAGCATCGTCAGATTCCCGCTTGAGGTCAGCTTCCGCGAAAACGCAGAAAGAAACTGCTCTTTGAAAAATATCCATCACTGGTGCCCACCGTTGTCGACATTCTAACACAGCATAGTTTTGCTGCTCACAGACAGCTGTCAGAATCATGGTCCTCCGTTGTTGTTTTAGTGCTCATCAGCTGCAAGAAGAGGTTGTGAAGAAAATAGCCGAGCTCAAGAAACGCATCAGCACAAGCACATTGCGACAGCTTTTTGTCCCACCAAATCATTCCAACAAAGCCAGCATTAGATATCAGTCTGTCGTCGATGCCAAAGGTTGGAGTCAAGAAAAATGACATCGGCAATACCCACAAGGCCTCTCACTTTTGCCGCACTTCCGTCAACTATGCACTGCAAATGGCTGCATGTTTTCACAGTGAAGTTTCCAGCTGGTCAGTGGATGACAAGAATAAATTGCTTTTTGGAAGTGGTCCGTGCGTAGATAGGAGAATGGCCTTAAAAATGTTTTTCCAGAAGCATGAAAACGTGCAATACCCAGACCACAATTTTGCAACAGGTTACAAGGTCATCCTCAGCGGAAACATGCAACTTCTCCACTGCGAGGTCACTACTCCAAGGGAGAGGTCCCGGTCAGTGAGTCCAGAAAGAAAACCACCTGTCAAAGCTAACGGCACTAATGCGCAAGAAAGTCCTCTGCCTCATCAAGCCACGTCTTGATCAAAAAGCTTGTACCGTACAGATGAATTGGGCCGCCTGCACTACAAGTACCCGAGAACTGGGCTGCTAACTGTTTGTCTGCGACGAAACAAAATTTTCAAGGCATCGGTGTATAATCACAACACCGACCTGCTTCCTCTCATCAGAGAGAAACATGAAAAACACGGGAAACATGACGCTGTGATTTTGTCCGACAATGGTCCTGACTGGTGAAAGGATAGCGTGAAGACAGTCATGATGATGGGACGACTCTGGCGTGACTTGTGCTTGGATTACCTTTGCATCACATTGTTCGCTCCTGGAGACAGCAGGTTCAACATGATCGAACATAGTTGGGCTTCCTTGACCATGTGGTTGACTGGTCTACAATTGGCTGCAACTTTGAAGGGGGAGGATATTGTGCCAGACGAAAAGGATGCTGCTATCCTTGACTAGGCGATGATGTGCACCACTGTTTTCTGTGGCAATGAAGTCAACCTCACAGCAGAACTACAGGGATAAATCTCTGGTTGTAGAACTCAGCGACGCCAGTTCTACCAAGATCCGTACCACACTAACCCTATCTGTACTTGCAGAGGAGTACAGATTTCTGGCTAGACACTTGGTTCAACGGAGATTCACGCTTGAATTCATCAATTGTGAGGATTGCCACTGTCACCACTGCACAAGGAATCCTGTCCATGCCATAGTACATGACATTTCTATGTGAATATGGTGGCAGTAGGGCGTCTCGGCGTCACGAAGGCCATTATGAGACTTGGTGCAAGTTGGCATCTCAAGCATTTTCGGGAAAGCTGGAGAAAGTAGCACTTGATCATGGACTTTACAACACACTCAAAGGAGATCACACATGCAGCAACGAGTGTCGCAAGGTCTTCCAGTCTATAGCTGACAGGGAATGCCACAGGAGACTTGTGCATACATGCACATGAAGAGAAAGGCAGTTAAAGAACAAACAGCTCTGTTCAGAGCCACACAAATTAAAAAAAGAGATTTGCTTCTTGGCATATGTTTGTTTTAATAAAGTTGAATACATTTTTAAAAAGTGTCATACCTCCTCTTGCATGTTTGTTCCACCACCCCCAACCTCCCCAGTCATATGTAGCGAGATAATGGTCCTTGAAACAGAATTGCAGATTTTATTGGCAAATTTTATGAGCAAAATTCAGTTTTTCTTCTAGTTCATGACATTGCAAAAGCATAATATTCATTTTTTTGGCTTTTTCACCAAAACTCAGTACACATGCATGTGATTGCACCGAAATTCCACGTATGGTGTCTGAACAACCAAGGTAATGGTGATTGGAACAGAATTTCAAATTTATTACTTTCACTCAAAAGGCCTACAAATCAACCAGAGACTTGTCAAATTCCAAGTGTTTGCTAAGAAAATGCGTATCTTGCTGCTGCTCAGATTGCTTTAAACAACATGTACTTACTATTTAGGGACTTATAAGTCACTTCAGAGTAAGACAAGTGAAAGTAGTATATAGAAATCTTCCTAAAATTTCTAGTCTAGTAGTTACATCATGGAGAAAGGACCTTTCTTCGTGGTTACATGTAGCATCATGCACGCGTATATTTGCATGGCCTGGGCCATGTGCCGGGCCGGCCGGGATGGTGGGATCACTGGCACTTACGGCCGACTTGACATGAAAACACGGCAGTGACACCAGCAATGGGAACCAGCACTGTGTTTCCAAATCCTGGAAGAAGCTGGAGATATTGGAAGGCTCCAAAACTGTCACTGGGCCTGGGCGTGTACACATTCGGTTTTCACAGAGCTCGAATAAAGCTGAGGTTTAGAAAAGGGCCACATTATACATTTTGAGCGTGGTTGTTGGCAATTGCGTCGTGATACTCCAAAGGAAAGACGTACGTGTACTTTGCACACCCTTTATTACCATCGTTTTCCTCATAACTGCTGATCTTTTCGCTGCTATAGGAATGGGTCTCACTTTTGTTTTACTATTCCCGTGATGGTTAGTGTCACCCAGCCACCATAAATAGCTCACTCCAGGACAAAGTACGAGAAATGGAACACACCCAAGTGTTGAAGGATAAAACAAATGCACCAATTCTTTATAACTCAATGTTTCTCTAGTTGTATTCACTTCCTTTTCGATAAATTTAAAATTACAAATACAAATATCATTCTTCAGAAATTTCCACATCAGCCAAATGGCCACTCGTTTGATAACTTCCCAAAATTACTAATAATTTCAATATCCAAGTCTTCTTCACTTTCAGTGTGGCAATAAATAATTATTCCAAAGTCAAAATGTATTATCCCAACACTCACTTAGATCCTTTTCCTTTATTCTTTGTCCTTTAACTTTTACACACTACTTCAAGATCTATTCATTTTGTTTTTCCACCACACAGTCAGATTCTGTTTACTTATCTACCGCACAATTTTAAATCAGTTTTGTTGTACACCATTTTAACCTATCAGATTACTAAGTTCCAAAATTGTTAATCCCTTTTACTGTGGTAACTTCCACTGCAGTTTTCACCAACACTTAGTTTTCAGTCTTTTTCTCCTTGCTGCAACTTAATAATATCATTACCAATAATCACACTTCAATTTCTATCAGTGATTCATTCAACACCGTCAATTTTGTGTGGCTTTTCAATCTAACAGTTAACAAAACTCACAATAATGTTTCACAATTAACACAATCTCTATCCAAAAGATAAGTACATGTATATACCAGTAAATATTCCAAATTACAATTCTGTCAGTGTTTTTGGTGAACGGCTAAAGTGTCCCTCCCGTCTGATGCACGGATGGTTCCTGGAACCTTGGAAGCTTTGTTGGCCAATGGAACACACGGAGGGCTCAAGTTCAGGGTGGGTTCTCAGTCTCGGCGCAATTCACAAAGGGGTCACATTAATCACGGTGACAAAATCGGCCCAACAGTTCCTAGGGCTGACTTCAGATCAGGCTTTTTTTTTGCAGGTCTCACCCATCAGATTAAATGACTTGGGTTTTACCCCAAATCTTCTGCCATCTAAAAGTTAATATCAAACTGACTTTTATTTATGTAGGGAAATTGTTACGTTCTTTTAGAAAGATCCAAATTTTATCTGCCACACCCAGTTTGTTTCTCTATGCAAAAAAAAAATTGCCTTTATAATCACAATCTAAGTAAATTTTCACAATATAAATGTTTTAACATCAACAAGAATGACACTCAAGGTTAGGTGGGTTTTCATCCACTTGGAAAAATAGCTAGCAGCCACTGCCTGTATAACTTGCAACAATAATATGTCGACACTTGGTTTGGTTTGTCCTGAGCTTTATCGATGTTGCCTGCTTGAGGGTTCAGCAGCAAGTGTCCCTCCTGCTAGCAGCAACAACTCTCAGGGCCTGACCCAGCCGCGCAAAAAAAATTGACAAGAATTTGGACTCAATTGTTCCTAACCATGGCACTATTTATACTTCAGTGCACACTGCTCCACACTCACTGTGGCATACCATTCCTTATTCGGTGGTTTCAGCAATGCTGCCCTCTGGGAAGCTGGTAGGTACAGAGACCTAATTAACATTCAACAACTTGTAATCAATGAAACTGCAGGTAAATAAATTTATAGTAAAACACACAGAGACTGGTTTAAAATCCATTTTTATTAACTTTACACAGATACAGATTTACAAAATGAATTCACTTGTGACAGTTAGATTTATACTTTTTGTGGACTTCTGGGCCCCAATGAGTATGAGTATTATAATGGCAAAAAGTTGATATTTAAAAACATTCAGAGATTTCAGAAAATGATTCATGCAAAAGAGGAAAAATGGCGTATAGTGCTTTGTGGTATATTGGGCTGAGATCTGGAAACTGGGCTTTATATCTTGTTCACTACACACGAGGCCTAATCTGCTTACAGCAGGCTTTTGTTCAACTCTGGAGGTTGGCCGGCGATCGGTCCCTACGCTAACTGTAGATCTTTCGCTGTGTGCCTTTGAAGTGCCGGTGCGTGTACCAGAGCAGAGATGCTTCATACCGGCCAGAGAGGCCATTTCTACCGGCCGGGGATCAAAGCAGCCAGAAAATGACCGGACATGCCCGACCGGTATATCAACCGGCCAAGGAAGGACATCCCGCCTTTAATACTGTCAATAGGAAATAATATGTACATGTATTTTTGAAAGATGTGTGAAATTGATGTTTGCATTATTTTCCTTCCTGTCTGAAATCAATGTTTCTTAGTTTGTGTATACCGATGGCCCTTATAGTCCCAAATCCTCTGGTATTAGGATGATTTTACATTGTTACCGTTGCAACAATGTATACCATTCTGCAGCAAATCCTCATTCGGGCAATCAAACACGAGAAGAAAACTGAAGTGCACCCTCACTTGATAAAGTCCCACGTTTGTAATAACTGACTGATTATTTAATTCCCTACGTCTGACCATAGTATCAACGTAGATGAGACAAAGAAGTACGGGGTGAATTGAATTAAGCATTTGCATTTGAAATAACTATTCAGGAAATCATTTGTTGCCCATTATTCTTTAGAATAGGCAAGGGAAACGTACTGTGTTTGTATCTGAGATCGCAATCAAGGTCATCTTATTCTATTCTTTATTCTTATTCTTTATCTAATTCTATATTTTAGAAGGGAAGTGCCCTAGACAAAAAAATGACCTGATGTGATGATGCCGTCATCTTGTGACAAGTCACATAACGTTAAAGGTGCACTCCCACAAGCACTGTATCTTGTGAAGTACATTTTCGATTGGGTTCAAACCTTAGAGATATCTTGGAAGGGACGTGATTTACACGCATATTGCCCTCAACCTGATGATGACATGATCACAGGACAAGTCATGTGACATTAAAGATGCAGTTTTCAAATAGCTGTATCTCTTGAAGCACATCTTGTGGGTTAAAATTCATATACAGTAAACTCCGGCTAAGTCGGCACTCTCCGGACTCGAGAAATTGCGACGACTTGCGCGAATGCTGACTTGTGTTGTAAGTCATCATTTTGCCGAGTTACACGACACGTACACATGTATTGCCTATGTACATGTACATTATGATTCCTTGCTTTAATTCAGTGGGTTTGATTTAACCCTGGTTTATTTCTACCTCCATGGTCGATCTCAGCAAATTCATTCTCAATTATTATCCTGCCAACTCAATGATTGGTCATGTGCCCCTAAGGACGAAGCAAGGACGGCAAGCCACTTGCAAAGTTGCATATCACATCGTGACCCAAGAGTGCAGTACGTACATAGTACAACGTGATACAGTTACAGTACAGAAAACATACACTCATCCATGTCCACACACCCGCATTGGTTAAGTTCGTTCCATATAGTCTGGATACCAGACCCGATGATTCTGACTACCAACGAATCATTATCAAGGGTCGTCCGGGAATCTTTGGGCAGGGAACCAGATAACGTTCAATAAGGCAAACCCCAAAATGGACAGGGCCTATGCCTGTAGCACTAGAGGGGTTACTGGTATTAATGTACTCATGCTGGCCACACACGAACGGAACTTGTCACTTGACAACCGCGGCGAAGGAAACCGAAGCCTGATTTTTTTAATGTCGACTTACACAAAGGAATTTTTGTGGTTTTGTGGAAAAGGGATCGAGAAAAGCATGCCGACATATACAAAATGACAATGTATAAATGCCAACTTAGAAATGAAATTTTTAATGGAAATGCATTACAGATAATCAGGACTTTTGTGAAATGGCCGACTTGGACGATATGACAGGTAAAGCAATGTCAACTTAGTTGGAGTTTGTATGAATATGAACATTCTCAAACATTTTGTGCTATGCCAACAAAGCACTTTTCTTCACAACCACAAAAAGGCAAAAGAAGCCCTGTGTTCTGACCTTGAGACAGGCGCAGTTCCTCTATTTTTTATACTTCTGATGACCCAAATCCCATATGTTTTGTGCATGTTTTTCCACCCATGACTTTGATCTTTTAGCAACTCTGGATCTTCATCAAACTTAGGTCAATTAAAAATCCTTATGCATAGACGGTTCTAGAACATTGACATCACGATGACTTCATCAACTGATTTATTATTGATTTTCAATATTTATTTCAGCCCATTGACTTTGTACACATTTTTGACTTTCATTTTGTTTACTCAGCTATCTTTGATCATTATTAAAGTAACACCAATGAAAGACCTCGAGGCAAAGATAATACGAAATAATTACGTCATGATGACATCATCAAGTGATTTATTATTAAGTTTAGATATTTAAATATTACTTTAATGTTGTAAAATCCATATAAAACCAACCATGGCCTCTAGCAAAATTCTGTTTGCAGCAAGTGGCAGAGTATAATTTGGTCTCCAATTCATCCCATGTGGGTCAAATCACGTGACCCTTTTTTCCGGTCAAAACCGGAAGTGGGCTTATTGTTTAAAAGTGGTAATAGATAATGTATATTAAGCTATTTTTTCAATGGTGTAAGTCTCTCAGTGTTAGTGCTGGGTTGAAACCTTGCTTATATCTTGGAAAGGAAGTGCCTGAGGCAAATATTGAGCTCATGTAATGATGATGTAGTCAAACAAGTCACATGACATTAAAGGGGCACTATTTGAAATGCTGAATCTCCTGAAATATATCTACAATTGGGTTCAAACCTTGCTGATATCTTGAAAGGGAAGTGATTTAGACGAATATTGACCTCATGTGATGATGACGTCATCAGGTGAGAAGTCAAGTGACATTAAATGGGCACTCTTCAAAGTGCTATATCTCTTGAAGTACATGTGGGATTGGGCTGAAACATTGTGTCTAGCTCGAAAGGGAAGGGTTTAAGACCCTAATTGACCTGATGTGATGATCGGGTGACAAGTCACATGACATTAAAGGTGCATTTTGTAAAGCCCAATATCTCATGAAGTACATTTCCCATCAGGTTGAACTTTGCAGAGAGCTTGAAAGGGAAGGTTTCGAGATGGAAATTGATTTCATCTGATGGTTGTATCATATGATAAGTCGTGACATGTATTGAGATGACATGGATTGTAAACTTTCCATTGCTGTATTTCCATTATTGGCCATTATGTAACAATTTTATTCAATGAGTTTTGGAAAACCCTTTTAACCACTTCGCACTGGGCTAATGAAAAATGTTAATGATGCTGGGTCGGGATAATTATAATTTTTCTGTTTTCAAAATTCTTTAAAAATTCATTTCATTTAACGGACCTCTGTACCCACAGGCAGTAATCTTTAGGCACTACTCTAACTTGACAGCTGACCTTCAATGACGCCTGATTATTTCAGCCAGGCCTGCAGCCTTGTAAAAACAGAACCAGATTGTGCGGTGTTATGTAAGATTCTTTTGTTCCCGAAACCGGGAACAGTGAACTGCTGACCTCTATTCAATAGGGATCAGATTAGCATGCAGCGGTGCTGTGTGGCTCATTGCTGTGGTGGTGGAGAGCTTTTGTCTCCGGTGATAATCTGCTCACTCTAAATGCCCCAAACCGTTGGTTTCAAAACAAGGCTGGATTATCTCCACTATTGAGTGTGGAAAAATGCCTGTAATTCCCAGCAGCCTGGTCTTTTGTGTCAAGCACGGTCTTTTGTTACAAGGCCCAACTCCTTTGTCCGGTTTTGGGCTCCCCTGCTTCATGTATAAAGCCAAGGTGCTCAAAAATGGGTCGCCCGTCAGGAAGTGGTTAAACCAAAGCAGCTCCGTGGTTGTCCATAACCACTCTCTTCTTTGGGTTTTTTTTCTTTTTCCTTTTTCAGACACTTTTTTGTGACAGGGAACTTTGATGGTTTTATTTATCTAATTGATTTCTGACTTGGTAGACTTCCACAGATGATTCCATGACAGTATTAAGATTCGTAAGAACATAAAATAAGTAAACCTCACAGGAAAAATATATGCAGGAGTAGCGCCACAACCTTTTGTATGAGATGATTGGTGCCACTGTATGTGAGAAATTAGAGTCTACGGGAGAAAAATTCTGCTTAGTCCCACTTTATGATTCTAGATTGTAAGAATTGAATGCAGGATCCGATGAAAAACTGTATAGTATCTTTTTGTGATGCATTGAAATGCACATTCCAAGTAAAACCATCACAACCCCCTGTCCTACCGCATCGCTACTTTTGCATGATGCGGTTACATATGGGTGTTGAGAATTTAAACCCAAAAACAATAGCCCTTCTGTTCCGAGGCAGACAGTCCTACTTTGGTTTTACTTATTTTTTATTATCTAGAGGGGCATTATAATACAAACTCAGGAAGTTGCATCAGATGGGCGTCGTGCACCACCTCCTGTCCTACCAAGTGTCGATACTGGTACCCAAACCCCAGCTGAGAACCAGGATGATGGTAACCTCAGTGAGGAGAATGGTAGTAGAGGATCAGATAGCCGTAGTCATTCTGTATCACCAACCTTTCAACTGGATGGCTCACCATCTCGACCTTCGAGTAGGTCAAGCTCTACGGGTAATAGTGAGGTTAAAGGGGAGAAAGGTACAGTGTCATTTTTTACCTTGGTGCAAATACATGTAGAACACTTGAATGTACCAGTACTGTCATAAAGGAGATTTTGATATTTGGAGGTACCATGCTTCAGAAACTTGATGCCAAGCTGGTAGGCAGATCATACCACTTTGCCAAAACTATTCTGTAAACTATGAGCATCACAAGGTACCTGTATACAGTCGTGCAGTTAAAACAAGAAAAGCAAATATGATTTCAGTGTAGAATTACCATCCTATTTCTGTCATTTATGTTTGAAGAAGAGGCAATGTGGATTTCAGGGTAATTAGCAAGATGGAAGTATATAAGTATTATATTACAAATATTGTAATGCTGAGATTTGGCATCCTGGTTTCATTTCACAGAGACAATGCAATGTACATATATATGTACATGGACATGATAGAGGTGTTCACAGCATAATGTAATTGCAGTTGAAATGTACTATTCTTGATTATAACTTATTTGTATTTTATATAGGAGAAACATCGCCAGATTTCCATGGTTGCAAGTATGCTTCCTCTCCAAGCCACAATAAATCTTATCAGCTTACTAGAGATCCACCTGATGGCTGTGAAAGAGTACGTTCTATTGAAGAACCAAGGTTAGTTGCATCTTACCTCAGAATTGCAGAGGTAGCACAACTTAGAGCCTGCAATATGACAGAGCAGTGTAATTGATACAGAGACTGTGAAGTCCACTCAGAAAAATTCGTAATATGATTTGGGCTGGCCATCAGGGCTAAATTTAGCACCTGGGTACATGTTAAATTGCAAGGACCAGGGGCCATGGCCTACTGGCCTGAGGCTATTGAATTTTGGGAAAGATCATAGAGCTTTAAGTCACCTTGCCCGTTTCAGCATGTACATGTAGGATTTTTTTCTTAATTCGTATACCCTATACAACTAACGTGGAAAACCAGCTTATGATCTTGGACTCATGCAGTTGGTATCAAATGCCGTTTGGGAAGAATTTAAGTGGGGAAAACATAGGTTTTTTGGGTGGGGAAGTGTTATTTTCCACACCCCTTTTGATAATTTTTGGTGTGTGCACAGACAAGGGTCTGTATTATATTCTGATGAGCTTCAAAGTGATAAGTGTATGTATTTAGCCATGAAAATATCTCTCCAAGAGTTTTTCAATCAAAACTTACTATTAAAGGCTAATTAAGGCCCCTATAAATAGTTCTGCTTCCGGGTTTCTGACCGACCCTAAGTTTCAACGTGACCCAAACATTTTCATTTGCATGTTTTTTGGCTTCTTCTTCTCAAAGAGGCGATTAGTGCATAAGTTAGTGCATCAAGTGTTGAAGCAATTGTTGGACTGACTGTACAGTTCAGTCAGCTTGAGTGGCAGGTTTTGGCTTAAGTGGCAGTCTTTGGAGCAGTTGGGGGAGATGAAGATTGATGGTACTCATGCTGATGCTGCGGATTCTTTCCTCGCCCCCTGCTTCATCACCATCTGGACCTTCCGTGTTCGCTTCCATCTTAAAGAACACCCTCTTTGACACTGTGGCACTTTTGACTCGATCTATGGCAATAACCCCCCCAGTTATTGGTGTTAATCTGGACGCACTGCATGTCGTGTTTACAGACACCTTTGAAACGCAACAGTAGTCGTACGACTTGCAGTTCTTCGTGCAGTATTTCTTTCGGCATGCAGTCAGGCTCCATGCAGTGCACGTGGCTGAGCCACCGGAGTCATCTGTGGCTGAGAAATGCAGGGATGCTTAGCAAGTCAGCACGTGTAAAAACCACTGTTTTGAGGACTCTATTCTGCCACCTTATTTTCATAAGACATCGAAGACGGTGGAGATGGAACCCATTTAATAACTACCATACAGGAGAGTGATCAGGATTGTCTGATTTAAATGACCTTTGTTTAAATCACTGATTTAAATTGTGATTTAAATCAAATAATTGTTTTGGAAAATATATTCAATTTTGGGAATAAAAAGGCAAACATTTTAAATTTTTGAATTTTTTACTGATTAGAAAAGTTTGCAGGTTTTGCACATTTAAACAGCAAAACCCTCCTCTGTACATGACCCTTCCAGTTCCTAGTATTAACCACTTGCTGCCAGGAGACCCGTTTTCGATCACCTAGGCTTTATACACAAAGCCAGGGAGCCCGAAACGGCACAAAAGAGCTGGGCCTTGTAACAAAAGGCTGTGCTCGGCACAAAAGACTGAGCTGCTGGGTATTACTGACATTTTTTCACTCTCAATAGTGGAGATAATCCAGCCCTGTTTTGAAACAGTATACCACGGTTTGGGGCATTTAAAGCGAGCAGAGCCACCAGGGACAAAAGCACTCCACCACCGCAGTGATGAGCCACACAGCACCGCTGCACACTAGTCTGGCCCCTATTGTAAAGAGGTCAGCAGTGCACTGTGCCAGGTTCGTGAACAAAAGAAAGTTATATAACACCGCACAATCTGGGTTCTTTTTACAAGGCTGCAGGCGCCTGGCTGAAACATTCAGGAATCAATGAATGTACATGTACCTGTCGGCTTACAGTGGCCACCAAAGAGTCCTTCGTATGGGTTTAAATGGCTGTTAAATGAAATAATTCATTTTTAAAGAATATTGAAAACTGAAAATCTTGATAATTGCCCTGTATGTGTGCACTGCATTTTTATAAGCACCCGGCAGCATGTGGTTAAAGAAGTATGAATGCACATGTGTAACACAAAGTCTGGGTTTGCAAGATTTTTATGTTCAATTCTGTCCACTTGTTTCAATTTAATTCAGCTTTTTGGATTCAGTAAGTGTATTTGATGCAAAGAATCATGATTTTATTTTACCTCATTTAAATTGCCCACTTCAGCGTTTAAGCAAAGAGGAAGGACACTTAAGGAGTTAGAGCCCTGGCACTTCAAAGTGCTCGATGAGCATTGCTGCTTAGACAAACAATAGTAAACATTCCAAAAATGCCTGATTACGGCCTGCAGCTTAGCATACAAATGGGGCCAGTAATATTCTTGCAATATTTTGTGTGTTTTGTTTGCAATTAACTACAACTTGTCATTATGACCAGGAAATTGAGAGCGAAAAATATCTAACATTAGATCTACTTTTACCATCATGAATAAACATTTTTACTTTGTTACGCTGTTCCATTCTCCGTGCAATGTTGGTAATTTTATTTTGTCTCTCCAAAACATCAGTTTTCCAAGTCTTTGTATGAACTTGGTTAAGACTGGCCAACAACATGTTGACCACCATCGACAGTTAAGTTCATAGCAAACAGAATGTGGTATTTCAGCACAAGGAGTACTCAAGAAATCTCATGAAATACCTTTTTGTATAATGCCATGATAAAATGATTCAAATGAAATACAATATCTTATAAACAACTTGGCTGTTCATTCCCAAAATAACTCCAGAAGAAAGTATTCTACAAGGGCAGTGACTCTACATATACATGTACACAGGGCACACAGCCTAATACAAGCATTAAACTTGATATTGTTTTCAGATCATACCAAGTAACATTGATAGCATGAATACTCAACTTCCTATACTGCAGTGCCCAACATTTTAAGGTTGCAGATTATCAGCGAAAAATTACAGCAATGATCATATGATACAAAAGGGGCTTATGGTTGAGAAACAAATGGCGTGTAGCAAGCATTCACTGTGCTCTGGCTATGGATGTACTGGAAACTTAGTGTTTGGTTGAAAATCTGGTATGCACTTTATCCGTGGTATATGTGCACGTACTTGTCTCCCAAGGAAGTGTCTTCTGTGTGGGTACATTTACTGGTAGGTGTTTTACTGCAAGCAGTTCACTAAGGCTAAGACATGATGGTTTGTGAATTTAATCAAATTGCTTGATTTAAATTTCTTAGTCTACTGCGCTCTACCTACCCAAACAGTCACAACATATGCAAATTTCCCATGTGCACATGGCCATTCACTGATTAAGACTTTACCATCCAAGATGCCCTATGACCTCCCACTACATTGTGGTCTCGCCGCCATGATCGTCCTTTTCTCAGCGCTGCATCGCAACAGACGTGTCTTTCAGACATCTTCCAATTTTTCGAGTTCTGTTTTCGCTAAACGGTTATGTGTTGACTTTATCATCCAGTCATGGTTTCTGAATAACCTTTACCTTGTGTGATTTCATTTTTGTCGGTAAGAGTGTTATTTTATTGTTTTTTGGTGCCCTTTTTTCTCTTTTTGTCTGTGTGTGCATTCTGTAGGTGATTACCATGAGTGCTATGAGGAACGGTCAACCCTACACTCCCCATCGGCCGGGCTGCTTGAGTGGGTGCATTCGTACTTTAAAAGTGGCCCATATAATCCACACAACCCTTGCTGCATGAGAGAGCGTGCATTCCTTATTTTAGCAGCAGTTGTGGATTATGGCCTAAAATTAACCGCTTGAGAGAGCACTTTTGATAAGCAGTAGAACGGTCACAAGGCCTAGCCACATGGGTGTTTCACCCCTTTTTGTGGCTTTGACGAGGATGTAGGCTTTAGCCACGAGCAGGAGGGGCCCTATTGGGATCAGTGCCTCCTGCTCGACAGTCATGCACAGGAGCCAACTGGTGCAGCTAGATAGAGCCCACGTTATACGCCTGAGCTCTGATCACTTACAGAATGAGGCGAGGCCAAGCCATTTCCTAAGTGGCTCAGATGAGGAACCTGGCCTTTACCGCGATGCTAAATTCTGTGGTAGTCAGACTCCACTCAGGAAATTTTCTGACTTAAAAATTCTATTTCTCCACCCTACAACAGACCGCCTAGTCATCAGGCCAGCGCTTCCTATGACCATTGAAGACCCAACGAGTCGGCTGATAGAACACCTATGGCTCACAAAAGCCAGCGGACCAAGGTTGCTCCTCCTCCACCACCACCTGCAACGGCTTCCGGCCGCTGTAGCTCTGCTACATGCAAGGCCACATCCTCGATAGCACTGGCCGACCCGACACCCAGTCAGCCTCATACCGACAACACCAGGACACAGGCTCACCGCGCCCCTCCAGGTCAGGCCCGCCTGATGACTCTCCAATCCACGGTGCCAGGACATCCAATAAGAACTCATCGGGCACCATGGCACCTACAGGACTTCTTTGCTGCCGTGGCTCTGCAACCCATCTGTGGCTCTGGCTTCCGGCTTGGTATTTCCGGAAATTTGGGACCCTTCTTAGCTTGCCCTCCACGAAGACGGCGTCCATACCAGCCAAGCTCCCGTCTGCCCTTCAGAGGATCAGCCTCCAACCTTACCCACTGCGTTGACTGCTAATTCTGCCCCACGTTCCAGACCAGAGGGCAAGCATTCTTCTACGCCTTCATCGGTTGCTTCGAAGGTCAAGAAGAGACATCATTCTAAACAATGTGAACACTCCCCCAAACCATGGATGACAACGTTCCCTTCCATCAATGAATCTCTGTCCTCTGCCTGCCTGAGCGACAGACCCACACCAACTTCCACCGCTCCGGACCCGGACCTTTTGCCCCCGGCTCCCGCAGCCTCAACCCGCTCTGCAGTTACGGACGACTACTTGTAGCGTGGTACTCACCAAAGCCTGAGCCAAGCTGGTGTCCCCCTTCCGGAACATTCGGTCACATACAGGAACATTCATGGATATG